GAACCGACTCCACGGCACATAACAACAGCAACAACAAAGGTGTGGATGTATCAGCTGTTCCGCAGGAGAAAGATGAGACTTTCTGTTCCCATAAAGATTTATAGCCTTGGAAATCCTGTACGGGGTGGGTATGAGTTGGAACCGACTACGGCACATAACAACAACAACAGGTGTGGATCTGTATAAAGGAGAGGATGTATAGATGTGTGTGGTTGAATATGAGAGAGAAAGAAAGCGTGTGAGAGAAACAGATAAGAAAAAGTGTATATGTGTCTTAGGGCGTAGAAAGTATGGAATATTGTGTGGGGCGGAATGTGGGTGTGCGTTTGTGGAGAGACGCCTAAGGGAGAGGGTGTGTGTATGTGGTGGGGAGAGAGATGAAGAATGCTTTTGCAGGGGACACTCCTCATTGTCCATCGTAATAGCTGACGCTCTCTAACCCCATTCTCTTCCCAAACTCTAGCCCATATTTTTCTTGTTCCATTCTCGGTATAATGAGGAGTAGACATTTCTTCCCATGTCTCAGAAAGCAGCATCTTCACTGTTATTAACAGACAGTAGCGGGACTCCTAGTGGAACTCCTGGTGTGGCGCTGTAGGATCAAACCCACCAACTGCACATCGGAAACCCTATACAGGGTCTCTAAGGAGCTCTGGTAGCATAATGGTTACAAATTGGGCTGTGAACCTCAAGGTCAGCAATTCGAAACCAGTAGCTGTTCCTTGGGAGAAAGATGAGGCTTTCCGATCCCTTAAAGGATTTACAGCCTTGGAAACCCTGTATAGGATTGCTATGAGTCGGAACTGATTTCACGGCACATAACCACCACCACCACCACCACCATGAGTTGGAACCGACTCGATGGCACCTAACAACAACAATAATGTGGCTCTGTAGGATAAACACTGGACTGTTAACCGTAATGTCAGCAGTTGAAACCCACCAGCCACTTCTTGGAAACCCTATACAGGGTTCCTATGGGTTAGGACCAACTTCATGGCACTTAACAACAACATTGTCCCTCCATTCTGTCCACACACCATGCCAGGCACCACAGGACTTGCCTGACTCACCAAGAAACCCGGACCACCGCAAGCCCAGAAGCTGAGCTGAAAGGCCTGCACTTGAAAGATTAAGCATCAAAGTTGAGGCTATCTTGTGTGTGTGTGTGTGTGTGTGTGTGTAAGAAAAAGAGAGAGAGATTTCAATTAACAATATTTTTCTTTTTTAAAAAAATTTTGCGGTGTATTGGGTGAATGAAGTTTTATAGAACACATCAGTTTCCTTTCAATCCATATACATTTTGTTTCCTATCATTGTCTGCAATCCCCACATGAAACGGCATTGATTTTACTTCCTCCTTCTTTCCTTAACCCTTCTGAACTTTTTCCTTGGGCAATTGCTGCCCTTTTGATTTCAAATAGTTGGTTAGTCTAAGGTGTGTATACTTCTCTGGTGTTATTCTTCACCTGATTCTTAGTTTATCATTTGGCTCTGAGTTAGAGTCATAGGTGTAAGTTCATTTTCAGGCTTGAAGGCTAAGGGCCATACTTTCAGGGGTTCCACCAGTTTCAACCTGACCAGTTGTTGTTGTTGTTATGTGCCGTGGAGTCAGTTCTGACTCATAGATACCCTGTACAACATTTCCGAGGCTGTAACTCTTTACGGGAACAGAATGCCTCATCTTTCTCCCGCTGAACAGCTGGTGGTTTTGAACCGCTGACCCTGAGATTCGCAGCCCGATTTGTAACCACAATGCTACCAGAGCTCAAGCCTGGTCTTTTCATGACTTTGAGTTTTGTTTCCCATTTTTTTTTTTTCTCATCCTATCCAGGACCTTCTAATATGATTGCTTTCAGAGCATTTGGTAGTGGTGGACAGGCATCATCTAGCTCTGCTGGTCCTAGGGTCGTGGAGACTGATATTTGAATGGTGTGTTCATCCATTGGACGAATTGTGCCCACGCATCTTTGATTTTCTTCACTCTTCTTTCCTCCAGATAGGGAAAGGCACACAGGTGCATCTAAGATGACTGCTTTCAAGTGGCTATCTTTCTTCTAGTACAGTTCCTACAGCAAAATTCACTTGCTAGGGCTAAGGCCCAGACACCCATGGGCATAACTCCTCATTTCTGCCCTCTTCTCCCCTACACCCCAATTTGAGACACAGTTATTGTCAGCCTGTCTACCCACCTATAGGACCTAAGCTAATCTTCCTTCCTCCCACTGGCCACCCATTATGTTGCTTTGTTCCCAGGTGGTGGGTGAGTGGAAATTCAGCAGAATCCACTGTGACATCTTTGTCACTCTGGACGTCATGATGTGCACAGCAAGCATCCTGAACCTGTGTGCCATTAGCATCGACAGGTAAGTGCAGCTAGGCCAGGAGAGCTGAGTTGGGTCATTCACCTTTCTGGCTACTCTGCCGCTCCGTCAGGGCCGTGCTCTCTCTGCCTGCTGTGTGTGTGGGTGTGAGTATGTGTGTGTGTGGGTGTGTGTCTCAGAGACTGCAGACTCCTTCAAGAGAGGTCTCCTTATGACATGATACTATGAAGGACACTCAAGACAGTGAGTGGTGCAGAGGAGAAAGCAATTGGTTTTGACTCCACCCTAGCTCTATTACTTTCTAGATATGTGACCCTGGGTAGGTTGTGGAGGTTCTCAGAACCCAAGAGTGATAGATATGGTCCAAGAGGAAACAGAAGTCAGTCTCTCATTAAGTGCTTGACTGGGCATTGCCAACTGTCTTGGCGTGAGGTCCAGAAGGGAGTGTCTAGTTATAGTAGTCAGTGAAGCTGGACCCAAGCAGACTCAGGTCCTTTCTGTGCCCCCTGTCCGACCCTGCAGATACACAGCTGTGGCCATGCCCATGCTCTACAACACGCGCTATAGCTCCAAGCGCCGAGTCACCGTCATGATCGCCATCGTCTGGGTCCTGTCCTTCACCATCTCCTGCCCACTGCTCTTCGGACTCAACAACACAGGTGAGTCCTGCTTTAGTCTGCCTGGGCCTCAGCTGGCTCAGGTATGGGTAGAAGTTCAAGAGAGTCCATTTGCTACCCCAGAACTGGATCTCCTGGGCCAAGTCCAACTCAGAGTGTTTTCAGGTTGGACCAGAAAGGAAACAATGGCCTGGAGCATAGCAGAGATCAATGGAGAGCGGGGAGGAGGATTCAGGAAGATGTCTGGGCACTTTCCGTTTTGTTTATTAAACGGGCTCCTTGTGTATGTGCATGTATGTGTGTGTATACACTTGCAAAGGGAGGCTTAGTTGTTGCTGTTAAGTGCCGTCGAGGCAGTTCTGACTCATAGTGACCCTGTAGAGGGTTTCCAAGGAACGGCTGGTGAGAGTGAATTGCCAACCTTGCAGTTCAAACCGACCTTGGAGTCCAGTGCATTAACCCACATTGTCACATCAGGACTCCAAAGGGAAGGCTATTGGGCTTCTTTCTATCCACCCTGACCATGGTATTTTTTGACCATGGTAGTTTTTGAAACAAATAGAATGTGAGCCAACTGCATGCACATTCCTGTGCAAGGCAGAGTAAGGAGAATCTCAGCCTAAGGACAACCCCCTGTCACACACAGAGCATGACTATTTCCGGAGAGATAACAGCAATGTAAGAACACTTTCTGGAGACAGGCTACAATGACGTTTCGAAAATGTGTGTGACAAAAAGTGTCACAGCAATTCCAAGAAACAGCAAATAGAGCTAGGCGTGCCTGGATGAAGTTGAAATAGCCCTGAGTGAGAGGACAGACATCTGTTAGACCCAGAAGGGAATAGGGATGTTGGCTAAACAATTGTTTCTCCAAGTGGTCTCCTTGGAACACAGGTGAGTCAGCCAGCAGGACTGAGTTACCTCATCCCTAAAATTATAGTCTTGCCACCAATATTCAGGAAAGGCCAAAATCATGGTGCTTCTAAATTTCAATTTTTCTTTCATCAGTTTTTCTGAACATTATGGCTTCGCTTGTGTGTTCACAGATGACAGAAATAATGACCAGGTGACAAGGGCTGGTCATTAATGGAAAAACACTTGCAGACCGTCAGTCTCAGTATAGTTTTCTTGCTCGGGGTTGTTTTTTAAGACTCTGTGTTATTTTGCACCTTTGTTTGCATCTCACATTTCCACACAACCTTAAATATCTAGTCGTGTTCTTTGCCAAGTAGTTACCTGTTCCTGTGAAGGTAAGTATGCTCACCAGGCTCCGGGGCCCAGTGGGCTGCCCTGCTCACCTGGGGTTCTCCTTCCCTCAGACCAGAACGAGTGCATCATCGCCAACCCCGCCTTCGTGGTCTACTCTTCCATCGTCTCCTTCTACGTGCCCTTCATCGTCACGCTGCTGGTCTATATCAAGATCTACATTGTCCTCCGCAAGCGCCGAAAGCGAGTCAACACCAAGCGCAGCAGCCGAGCTTTTAGGACCAACCTGAGGGCTCCACTGAAGGTCCTGAGATGCCCTCTCCCTCAGGGGCCCCACCTAAACATTACAAAGGGGGTGGTGCCCCAGCAGGATGAGGTTCAGTCTGGATGAGGGTGGATTTCATAGGCATAAACCTCAGTGGAGCAAACCTCGACTCTTCAGGAGTAGGAAGTAGGATGGGGGAGGAAGGATCAACTGGAAAGAGGTGTCTCTCCTTGGAGAACTTTGCAGTTGTGTCTGAAGGCAGCAGCTCTTGGTACCCAGCTGGCTCTTCTCCTTCTCTTTCCTTTTGTTGTTGTTGTCATGTGCCACGGAGTCAATTCTAACTCATGGCAACCATATTTGACAGAGCAAAACTGCTGCAGAGGATTTCATAGGCTGTAATCTTCACAGGAGTACATGGCCAGGTCCTGTCTCCTGTGAAGAAGCTGGTGGGTTCTTGTGTGGTTAGAAGTTGAGCGCTTAACCAGGGCTCTACCAGGGCTCCACGATGGACTTTCCCTTTCATTCCCGTGGGCACACCCACCTCAGGTCCTCTGCTTTCCACACTGACCTCTCCTCCATGCACACCTTCTTCGTCCTTCTGTTTTCTCCTTCACTTTCATCTCCCCATTCTTGTGTGAGGTCAGTGCTCCCCTCTAAGGCGGTATGTGGGTGTGGAAGGAACAAGAGCTTTGAAGTTAGAACGCACAGTTTCAAATCCTGGCCCGGCCATGTTTTGCTTCATGACTTTGGCAAATTGCTAAGCTTCTCTGAGCCACAGTTTCCTCACTTGTTCAATGGGAATCATAATACTGACCCCACAGGGTGGTCGTGAGGATTCAAGGTGAGAAGGGATGTGACTTTGTGTAGCCAAACCTTTAGTGGGAACTGGATAAAAGTCAGGGCCCCTTTGTCCTTCATCTTGCCCACCTGTTCTCATTGTAACACCAACCCTCACCTGGCCTCAGTGACCTCCACAGATCCCTGCCCATGTCATCTCTGTCCTTTGAGCCCTGTGCCCAGTCTGAGTTGTCCCTGGGCTGCCCTGCACTGGAGTCCTGCCCGCCTGCCCCTCCCGCTCACTGCCTGGCCTTAGTGACCGTGTGCTGGCTCCTCCACAGGGCAACTGTACTCACCCCGAGGACTTGAGACTCTGCACGGTTATCATGAAGTCTAATGGGAGTTTCCCAGTGAACAGGCGGAGAGTGGTAAGTGCTCAGGTCAGGGACCCAGGGCCAGGTCCTTCCGCCCCGAGAGAAGCCCACCTCCCATGACTCCTGGTGACCTCACAGCTCATCAGAGGAAGAAGAGCCTGTGGGACCCCCATTCTGCCTCAGATGAGGGCACACTCCTCAAGCAGAGTCAGTTCTGAAAGATCCAGCAGAAAACAGTTGGGGGAAAGGACTTAGTGATTATAGCATAATTCAAAAATAATAGTGACTTTCACCATTTATTGGAGTCCTGGTGTGGTGCTGTAAGGTAAGCACTGGACTGCTAACCTCAAGGTCAGCAGTTCAAACCCATCAGCTGCTCCTTGGAAACCCTAGATAGGGTTGCTATGAGTTGGAACTGACTTGACGGCACTTAACAACACCATCACCATTTATTGAATACTTACCATGTTCCTAATATCTCATCAAATCCTCACACCAGCCCTGAGAGGTAAGTCTTCTGGATCTTGTAGACCTTGGTTTTACTGAAGAGGAAACAGAGGCTCAGAGAGCGATAACTCACCCACAGCTAGGAGGGAATTAGTGAGGGCATGCAGACCTATATTTACAACTCCAAAATTCATGCCCTTCTTCTTCCACTCCTACTCAAGGAAGTGCTGGGACTGGAGACTAGGGGCGGGGGAACTGGAGCAGGGATGGAGGTGAGGGACAGCCAGGTAAACTGAGCCAGAGGTGCGGAATCTTGAAAGGCAGCTTTGTCCAGTAATAACAGCGCTGGGTCCAAGTGGGAGCCGCAGGTGTCCCATCCCCTAGGTGGACAAAGTCTAAGCCAGGGAGTCCACAGAGCACCACATATGAAGTTCTTGGGAATCCAGGTCCCAATCATTCCCCTGAGCTTTAAGGGCAGGACTGCTAAGTGCTGTTTATGGAGATGCTGGATGGCGGGGAGCAGTTGTGGCTCTGTGGTAGAATACTTGCCGTTCAAGTTGGAGACTCAGGTTCAATTCCAGGCCAGTGTGCAGCCACCACATGTCCGTCACTGGAGGCTTTTGTGCTGCTAAGATGCTGGACAGGTTTCAGGGGAGTTTCCAGATTAAGATGGACTAAGAAGAAAGACCTGGAGATCTACTGCTGAAAAGCAGCCAATGAAATCCCAATGGATCATGACGGTCCAGTCTGCAGCCTATCTTGAGAATAGTACAAGACTGGACAGCATTTTGGTTGTTCTCATGTGCATTTCACCAGCCCCCTCTATGACAGCTAACAACAACAGCCCAAATGGGAACTCAGGAGGGGCTAGGTGGCAGTGCAGCTATACCACTGTGCCCACAGTCAGGTCTGGATTTCAGAAGTTCAGGTGGAGGCCCCAAGGCCTCAGAACAGCAGTACCTAAGGGAGAGCCTGGGACGCAAAGAGTAGATCCATCCGGGGGCCTTGTAAGTGAGTCGGCAGGGAAAATGTGGATCGCCACGGGTCAGTCCTTTGGCACCTGTGATCCATCAAGGAAAGCATGGAGCCCAAGGGTGAGGGTTGATGGCAGGTGCCTTCAATCTGCCTGGCAGCCTCAGCGGCAGAATGTGTTAGCCTGGCAGAATGCAGATGGGGCCTGCTCTGCAGAGTTAACACATGAGATCCTGGAAGCGGGGCCTCAGTCCCATTCTGTGACTTATCCCCCAGCAGCCAGCTTGGTACCTGGCACTTAGCTGGCACTCTTAATCAAAGAGAAGTGCCTGAGAACACTGAGGCTGCAGAGGGATAGCACTGTCCTCCCCAAACAGTCCTCCCTCGAGATGGTGCTTGCAGGAAGCTCTGGAGTGAGAGAGGAATGAGCTGGGACTGGGACGGGGGTAGCTGATGCCTGAGAATGTTCCTATTTACCCGGTAACCTTGGACTCTGCTGCAGGATGCTGCCCGCCGAGCTCAGGAGCTGGAGATGGAGATGCTGTCCAGCACCAGCCCACCCGAGAGGACCCGGTACAGCCCCATCCCACCCAGCCACCACCAGTTGACCCTCCCTGACTCATCCCACCACGGCCTCCACACCACTCCCGACAGCCCTGCCAAGCCAGAGAAGAATGGGCATGCCAAAGACCACCCCAAGATTGCCAAGATCTTTGAGATCCAGACCATGCCCAATGGCAAAACCCGGACCTCTCTCAAGACCATGAGCCGCAGGAAGCTCTCCCAGCAGAAGGAGAAGAAAGCCACTCAGATGCTTGCCATTGTGCTGGGTGAGTTGGCCCAGTTGTGGGGTGTTGGCCACAGTCCGGTCCTGGATGAGAAATGGGCCCTGTTCCAGTCATGGCCAGGGAGGCCTGGGCTGGCAGTTACGTGGACACAAGCCAAACCTCTTGCGGTGCAGGTAGTCTCCAGAGGTAGATTACTTTACAGATGGGGACCCTGGGGTTTAGAGATTATAGAACGTAAGCAAGGAGGAACCATAATTTGAGCCAAGGCAGGCTGACTCTGAAACCTGTGAACTCTATCCAAATCCACAACCAACAAGTCAATTCTGGCTCATAGTGACCCTATAGGATATAGTAGAATGGGACCATAGGGTTTCCAAAGCTGTCAATCTTTGCAGAGGCAGACTGACACATCTTTCTCCTATGGAGCAGCCGCAGGTCTTTGGGTGAGCAGCCAAGTGCTCCATGTGAATTTGACCCGAGTCCCACAATGCCTCCCAGAACCTCATGACTGGCCAAGTCACTGCTCCTTTCTAGTGTCCTTGTCTGTAGACTGGATGAGATCTCAAAGCTGTGGCAGTAAAGTGATACATGTAAGTCTGGTGAAAGCATGGTATAAAGTACAAAGCAGTGCACACAGTGTTCTTATTATTAGAGCTTTTGTTAAGATTGCTCTTTTGGAGGAACTCACTGGTGCTCAGTCAGGTGACCAGAGACCAGAGCTGTGAGAAAATTAAGGAGGGCTATGAGAGGGACCCCAGATCCAAAATGAAGATCTGGTTCTGTCAGATAAAAGCCTTCCAGAAAGCCATGTAATAACGGTAGAAGATCAAGGAGTGGACTGCTAAGAATGGTTGACAACTGCCTCCCTGTTACTACCCCAGGGCAGTTCATGAAGCCCTTTCCCACTCGCTATGTGAGTGGAGCAGGTAATACCTTAATGAGTGATGGGACCACAGGCAGGTCTTGCAGCTGGGATGTGACAAAGCAGGATCTGACCCAGATCTGCTTCTCCAGTCCACAGGAGCTCTGTTCTGCCTTCCACTCATTTTAGCACATTCCTCTGACCCCGCTCCCCCCACCCCCCCTTGCTGGCCTTCTCTGTACTTTGTGTCTCCATGTCCAATGGCCCATCTGACTGGGGAGCTCCTGGAGCAAGATAAGCCTGAGGCAGACCAGTGTGGTGGGGAGGGCATAGCCCCAAGGCAAGAGTGTGTGCTCCATGGCTAGGGGAAGTGGGTGAGAAAGAGCCTGGTCATTTGGGGACCTAAACAGACTTTGCTACCAAAGAGCAAAGTGACACTGGGTAAGTCTCAGGCCCAGCCGAGTCTCAGTTTCCATTGGCCTCATACAGGCTAAGCAACATGATTATTGAGCTCTCTGTTCTCTCCCTTGGTGGTAGCAAGGTCCAAACTGAGTCACCCCATGCCCCCAACACACGGTCCACTTCCAGCTGCTCCGAGTAGGAATTTCCATTCCTGCAGTCTGACTGGAGGCAGCATGTTAACATTTTGGGTGTGTTTTCAAACTATTTCTTCTATCCTCAATGGTAGGTAGGAGTCCCTGGGGGTGGTGCAAACAGTTAATACACTCAGCTGCTAACTGAAAGGTTTGAATCCAGAGGCACCTCAGAAGAACTGTCTGGTGATGTACTTCCCAAAAAATCAGTTCTTGGGAACCCTATGGAGCAGAGTTCTATTCTGACACCCGAGTTGGAGTTGACTTGACAGGGTCTGTGGTAGGTACTATTACATCCATTTGGCAGATAAGGAGAATGAAGGTGAGGGAAGTAGAATTATCTATTACCTGCAAATACGTGTCAGAGAAAGGTCTGTAACCCACAGCCCAGGACTCCTCTCTCACTGCTCTTTCTGCTGCCTCTGTGCTGGGATCAGGCCGAGGCATACAATCCAGGAGCCCCGCCACAGGCGGATGTTCCTCCTGGGTCTCTGGAGCCAGCTTGACAGGTGCCCTCTCCCTGCAGGCGTGTTCATCATCTGCTGGCTGCCCTTCTTCATCACACACATCCTGAACATACACTGTGACTGCAACATCCCACCCGTCCTGTACAGCGCCTTCACGTGGCTGGGTTATGTTAACAGCGCCGTCAACCCCATCATCTACACGACCTTCAACATCGAGTTCCGCAAGGCCTTCCTGAAGATCCTACACTGCTGACTCTGCTGCCCACCCACACAGCAGCTGCTTCTCGCCTCCTGGCCCTGGCAGGCCTGGTCCCAGCCCCTGGGTGCCTGGGGCAGGAAGGCACGGGGTGGACTGAGCCCTCCCTTCACCCAGCCAGGCCCTGAAGTGTTAGCTTGGCTCCATGACCTCACGGTGATGCCAGAGTCAGGCACCGTGCAGTTCTTGGGCCGGACCTCTGACTCGGGGGCAGCTCACAGAGCCTCCACCCATCTCCAGGTCCCCTCCCCTTGGCACCAAAGATTCAGCTGCCTTCCTTGTCCTTTTTCTGGGGCTCTGGGGTTGCTGGGCCACAGTTGGGGTGCAGGGACTGCCTGTTGGGCAGGACCCAATCTTCAGAGGCTTGGGCTGGAGCACGATGGATACAAATGGACAATTCATGCCCATAAGGCCTACACTAAGGGAGAAAGCACTCTTACCATAGGCCCCCGGGACCTTTAGTCCTGGGAGACCCGTGTAAATACCAGACCACAGATGAATCCCTGAGAAGCCCAAGCCAAAAATCTGAGTTCCCTCTACCCTGGCATAGCCGCTACTTTCCACAGCAGTGGGTCCCAATCCACGCCACCCTCTACCACCTGTTACTTCTCCCCAAGTGGCTGCTGCACCCACCAAGGGGAGACCAGTCCCAGATATGGGACTCCAACAGGGCCTGTGGGGAGAGGAACCTACTTGGCTCCCTTTTGAAGGATCTTGGCTGTGTCCCTTCTTGGAACAAAAGTTGGGCCAGCCTGGTGGGCAGGAGGGAAGGTGGGGCTTGTTACTATGTCTTGGGGCCTGGTTGGAAGTATCTGAGGCTCTCTGGAGTATTTCTCCTGCCACACTTTGCCCTATAACCACTTCCCTTCCCTCTTCCTCGTCACCTCTCTCTCCCTTTTTTCCCCGACCATTCCACTGCCTCTGCCTTAGAGGAGACTATGGCTGAGAGCTGCCGGCTACTGTTTGCGCTGGCCAGGCCATGCTCCGAGGGAGGGGATGAAACTGTAGCGTGTGGGGAGCCCCGGGCCCCAGACTCTGTAACATCACTACACATGCAGCAAACCAATAAAACCTTGACAAGAGTCACATTCCAGGACCCCCTGGGTGCGTGGGGCAGAACCACCTATATCCCGAGGAGTCGAGTGTAGCCAAACACTTGTATGGTGCTGGGGGCCAAGTCTGAGGGCCTTTCTGAAGACCATACCTTCACGATAGATGGGAAATCAGGGGCAAATCAGAGAGAAGCTGCTCCCAGCAGGAGCAAGAAGAAGATGGAGAGTGAAGAGGAGGCAGGGTGTTTCTTACAGGTTTCTTCCTCATCCCCATCTCCTTCTCCCAAGCAGACTTGAGCAGTCCGAGCCCTGGTGTTCACACTCGACTCAGGTAATATGTTGTCCTTGAACCTCAACAGCCAACCAAGATACAAGGGGTATGTTTCCAACTGGCATGCCTGAGCCCCAATCCCTAGAGCATCAGGGTCCACCAGAGTGGATGCTAGGTTGTCCCAGGCGCCCACTCTCTTCTCCCAGATCCACGGCACCTTGGAAGGAACCATCCTGTGGCCCACCTGGGTTCCATCTCTCCCTTCTCTGTTTTTGTCTCCAATGAGGATCGCTTTCCTCTGGGGCAGACTGGAGGGAGCAGCCAGGGCTCTGAGTGCTGGGCTGGAGGTGGGTCTCCCTCTTCTCTGCCTGTAGGACAAGCCGCCCTGCTTCAGGCCTTCTGGGGCCTCCACTTGGCACTGCCCTGACAATACAAAATCAGCTTTAAAAAAAAAAAATGAAATGAAAAAGCCATCCTGGCAAAGGAGAAATCATCTTACCACCTGAACACAGCAGTGGTGATGACAAACAGGGTGCTGGCACCCACGGGTGCAGGCTCCAGGGAACTGTCAGGGCATAATTTGCATATGCTAAATACAATATTTTTAGCACCCAAGTTTGGCGCACTTAACTTGCCCTGAACACTTAATTACGGACTTTGATCATCTTCCTGAACCGGAATGTAGTGCTGAGCCCAGGGAGAGGTTCCTGTCCCCAGGAGCACCCTAACTCCAGAAGGTGGGCAAGGATGGGGGCAATAGCCCAGTGACCACCTCCTGGGAAAGATGTCAAACTTGCAAGGACTGCTCAGAACAAATCCAGGGACCTCGTTGCTCACACCCACCCTGTAACCTGCACACTCACACTCAGTTTATGGAAGGTCTTGTCCTGAAGGGGAGCAAGAAAGTTCATCAAATCATTAGTAATATTAGGGGGACATATAGGCTGATAGGGATGGGGAAAGATGACAAAGGGAGGGAGACAGAAGTAGAAGAAAGGAGGAAAGGTAGGGAGAGGAAGCCAGCCCCAGAGCAGGAGGCGCTGACAGAGAAAGGGGAAGAGGGCAGGGCAGGGGCGGGGGGCGGGCTGGGAGAAGTTGCCCACAGCTGTCACGAAGCTCCTTGTCTTCCTGCCAGACAGCGGATTGACAGCTAGAGTGGGCAGGGGGAGGGCTGACTCCACCCCTGCCCCCTCCGTACTTCAGGGGCACATGGGATAGGAGGAGGGGGACCCAGGAACTCTGAGATGGAGGGGGCAGCCCAGGCTTTGGCTCTCATGAAAGAAACCCTTTTGCCTTGGCCTCCAGGTCAGAGAGGAAATTGGAGGCTGGTTGGCTGCAGGCCCTCTGATTTTCTCTCCACTCTGCCTGTCTGGGTATTTCTGTCTTTGTGCCTTCTTTCTCCGTAGGATGCCTTTTAATAAAGATGGTTCATTTGCCTTTACAGCACTTGAAGACCACAGGCCCCCTACTCACCTTAAGGAGTGAGCAGTTCCTTGTGGGGGAGCAAACAGATTTCACTTGACTACTAACTTTAAGGCTGGTACCCAGAGGTCCTACAGAAGAAAAGCCTTTTGATCTGCATTCGAAATGATCACACCCAAGAAGACCCTGAGGAGCAGTCCTACGTCCTAACACAAGGGGTTGCCATGAGTCAGACTGGGTTTGGTTTTGATTCAAGGGGAGAACCTTCGGGTGAGACACAGCTGGGCACTTTACATATGTTATCTCACTTCATCTTCACAAAATTTCTGGGGGAGTGGTGTCCTTTATTCAGGTGACAAATAGAGTCACAGTTAAGAAAGGGTAGAGTCAGGATGTAACTTCAAGTTTCTAGGCCCCAGGCCCTAGAAGGTGAGGACTGGGGTTTCTGGTGGTCAAGGGCAGTGCAAGTGTTCAAGGAATTGAGAAGGCGGCAAGTGGCCCAGCTGATTGAGAAAGTGCATCCTTGTATCCATCCATCCACACATTCTTACCTGCCTCAGAAAATATTTACTGAGCTACTAGTGTGTTGTAGGTCCTTGGCGGTCTGCTGGGAAGGCAGCAGGGACTAATCTCCCCCTTACGGAGTAAATAAGGAACCTTAGTGGCACCGTGGTTAAGCACTCGGCTGCTATCCCAAAGGTTGACAGTTTGAACCCACCAGCTGATCTGTGGGAGAAAAGACCAGGCGATGTGCTCCCATAAACATTAAAGCTTTGACAGCTGTATGGGGCATGTCTACTGTCTTATAGGACACTGAGAGTCAAATCCATTCCAGGACACTCAACAAGAGAACAAGGGTAGACCACATGGGTTGAAGACAATGGCCATGGTCCCTGCCTTAGCGGAGTGCACCATCTAATAGGATGACAGCCACTATCAATGCAAAAGCCCCACCACCACACCAACACTTAGACACTGCTGGCGACACATGATGTGGCAGCCCCGGCATGACTTGGCATAGGATGGTAGAGAATTGGCAAGGATAAGAAAATAGACTGAAGGAAGGACTTCTTGGATGGCTGGGCAGGGACCCCAAAAGAAGCACATGCAGGTCCTGCTTCCCTGGTGGCCTCAGAAGAGAAGCAGTCAGTTGCCTACATCTAGGATCACTGAGGACTGACCTGCCTTGGGAGCATTTCCAATGCCCTCACCTCTCTGTAATCCCTTCCCAAACCATCCCTGTCCCCAGCACCTGCATGGCCTCCTCGATTCACCTGCTAGCCCTGTCCTGTGCCCAACTGATTTATGGACAAAGGCTGTATCTGTGACTTGAGCTACTGTATGTACAGGGGCCACTGAGGGTTATTAGTCTCCTTTGGCTATTCTAACAGGTACCATGAACTGGGTGGCTGAGAAGAATGGAACTTCATTCTTTCACAGCTCTGGTAAGAGTGTGAAGATGTTGGCAGGGTCAAACTTCCTCTTAAAGTTCTAGGGTACAGTCCTCCGTCGCTTCCTTCAGCTTCTCACAGTTGTCGATATTCCTTGACCTGTGACTACACCCTAATTAATTCCATCTTCTAAGATCCTATATCCAAATCAAGTCATATTTTGAAATTCCAGGTGAACATGGATTTTCAGGAATACTGTTCAACCCACTACAATGGGCTTTGCCTGTATGATCTCTCATGTGCTCATAATTCCTATGGGATTTACATGTCACATGATCCCCAATCAGAAGAATGGTAGTTTGGCCAGATGGAAGGGCTGGTGTTTCAACATGTCTATCTCTATCCATCGTATTTTCTGACCGGCCCTGAGTGAAGACAGGGCAATGAGGCAGCTGGGGACCATTAAGGAGTCTATCCTTCAGGTACATGAAATAGTCTGACAGCCAGTTGAGCTGCTCAAGTAAGAAGTAATTGGGTAGTAGGCTATGAAGTCCTGGTGTGGTGCTGTGGGTTAATGCCCTGAACTGCAAAGTCAGTTTGAACCTCCAAGGTTGGTGGTTCAAGCTCACCAGCTGCTCCTTGGAAACCCTATACAGAGTCACTATGAGTTGGAACCAACTTGATGACACTTAACAACAAGGATATGGAGCAGGGATTTCAAGAGGGCCAGAGTCTGGGTTCCTATTACATAAAGGTCCTCTCCTATCAACTAGGATACTTCTGGCTCTTCCACATACAGGCTATGGGAGGGGAGGGACTGAAGACTGGGGAATCCAGGTAAAGCAGGGAGCTGGGGGAGGGAGGAAGACAGCAGTCCATCTCTGGTGTGGGGCATTCCACCTTGATATGATGGGGTCATGGGAGGAGGGGAAAATGGGGTATTTGGCATGAACAGGATTCCCCATGTGGTGCAAGTGGTCAATGTGCTTGTTGAAATGTGCTTGTTGACTGAAAGGTTG